AGGTACAGATCCAGGTCCTGCCAGTAAGCCTCCTCCACGAACATCATAGGTCCAGATTTGTGAGGAATTAATGTGTTAATCTAGGGGGATGGATGTTATCCTTAGGCTCCCAAGAATTTTCTTCTGTTCCAAATCCTTCCCATTGAACCAGATATTGTAATTTGTTCCTAATGTAACACCCTGTTATAAATGTCTAATGCAGGATGTTGAAGCCAACACAAGATGCCAGTGTTCTGCAGACCAGTAGCAGCCACATATTGAAGTATAGCCATGTGGAACTTGTATGCTGAATCGCAGAACTTTACTGAAGAGCAGTGCACTGGGAAACTACATTTCCCAGAGGAGCTTGCATGTGGGTGGGGCAAATATAACTAAAAGCCTGCGAGACTGGCCAGGAAGTGAGAGAGGAGAGATCGAGAGAGGAGAGAGGAGAAAGTGTACTGATGGCCGAAGTGTTGGGCCAGACCATGGACTAGAGTCAGAGAGGCAGGAAAAACAGAAAGTCTTCTGATCGTCAGCCTTGCTACAATGCCCAGTGAGTCAATCTGCAAGCAGGAAACCAGTTGGGATGCCGATTCAGGACTGGAGAGTCTGTGGGGGGCTCCCAGCTGCAGGAAAAGATGGACTGCTAAGACCTGCCGGACACCATTACTAGGGTGAGAGAGTCTCATAACTTAGAGAACATTGACAATTTCACCACATCTGATATCTTCCTGCACATATCTGAGGACATTACACATAGTTACCCTGGTTCTCATAGCCGCCACCGCTGGAACATATTTGCATTACTGTCTCATCCTCCAAGCTGCCCGCAGGACACACAGCTGCAGGCCAGAGTACGACAGTGCCAACTGAAACAGAAATTTACCCTTCCCAGTTCAACGGGTCTTCTACTACTGTTGCCTGTGGCCCTTGTCACTCAGAGAGAGAGAGAGTTGTTCTTGCTTACAGACCAACTTATACCAACTGTTACACTTTACTACTTCACATCTGTCTTTGTTTAGTGCCTTAAAGGGGACTTTACATCAGTTCACTACCAATAAGAGGAGAAGTATTTATTAACTATCATCTACACCTTAGATCATCTCTACTCCAATTGGGCCCCAACTAGCACGCAGAAGACACCATATTGTTCTTAAAGGGACATTGGCTGATTATATACGAGAGCTCTCTCTCCATTTTCAAATCTAATCCTTACCATCAGGTTCTGAGGACCAGTAGTGAGCTCATTGATAGTTGTTCTCGCTCGCTGGGGATTCAATAATCACCTCAGATCGGGGGGCAGTGATTATTTCTGAAAGCAGGCCTGATAACATTTACTGGTACTTTCCTGTGGATGCTGTTACTTTTCCTTAAATGCTGACCAGAGTTCATTATATTGCTGCATATGCCAATGCTATTTCGTGTTTTTTTTTATCAGGCTACATTCAAACTCAATATAAACTTCATATTGATTTTCACTAACTTGTGTGTGAGTCCATTTTACAGTGATGACTTATTTGGGTCACAAGAGTGTGGTGGTGTCATCAGAGGTTGGGCTTTTAGAAAGAATTCCAGATTGACAGAGAACTCACTAAGCAATCCTTAAGGGGGTAGTGCTACAAAAAAAACCTCCTGGAATCAAGAATTTTCTCCACCACAAATTCTTCTTAACCCTGTACCTCAACAGGTGGAGGAAGTGGAAGAATTCTTCTAGAAAAAGGATTCCATGAAACTGTTTGAGCAACGATATGTGAAAAACGGGGTGAATCTTCAAACTGTCAGGATGATTTAAGCAAAAGGTGACCGGGTTGATTTGAACAGCAATCTAGAAAGGTTTTATAAACCTTTGGCCCAATTTAGCAGTTGGAACATACACCTTCAAATTTATGGTAGATTACCAAACTTTGAAACACAGGAAGTAACCTGTCAGCAGCCTTTTTGTAACATTCCTGAGCGTCCTTCAAAGTATCAATCAATCAATCAATTTTGCATGAATCTCCTGTAATGTGGTTAATCTGTTGGTAACAGCATGACTGATCCACTGTTTACTTCTCTCACAGGAGCCAATTCACCCCCCCAGCCGTCCAGGTTAGGCTCAGGGGCTTACTTGGGCATCCTGCCACCAATTCACATAACTCTATCTGCCTCCTCAGCCCACAAATGGGATAACCACCAGCTGTGACATGAAAAGGTATAACAGAAATACCACAATTATGAGAATCCCCACACATGTGAATAAGCTTGATAAGTTACAAAACATAAGAAAAAGACCCATGCCGTTCATTCATTATTTATTTACTTTTCCTCTTTTTTTTTTTATTGTTTAATTTTATCTTCTTATTTTTTTTTTTATATAAGACAAAGTAAGGACAACAAAGCTAAAAAAACAACAAAGGCAGGAGGGAGGGACTTGTCCTCTTCTGAAAAAGTGCAGACTGAAGGGACCAGCAGATTTCATTCTCTACCAATAACCTGACACTTAATTTGTGCCATCCCTTTTCCTCCCCCCTTCGCTCACACACTTAAAGCGTTGCCCACCCAAAAGGGGAAGTTCCGCTTTAAGGACTGCTCCCCCGCTCCATATTAAGGATTGACACCTTTGGGGTGGGGGGGGGGGGGGTGGAGTGGGTACCCGAATTTGACAGGTACCCGCTCTCACTTCTGGTCCGATCGCCTAGGTGATCAGAAGCGGAAGGTGTCCAAAGTGGTGCCCAGGCCAATTTTCAGCTTTCAGTGCTGTCGCACTTTGAATGACAATTGCACGGTCATGCAACACTGTACCCATATGAAATTTTCATATTTTTTTAACACAAAGAGAGAATTTTCTTTTGGTGGTATGTACACACTGCTGGTGTTTTATTTTTTGTGCTATAAAAAAAAAGAGCAAAAATTTGAAAAAAAAAATTTTTCTTTGTTTCTATTATAAAATTTTGCAAACGGGTAATTTTTCTCTTTCACTGATGTGTGTTGATAAGGCTGCACTGATAGGCAGAACTGATGGGCACTGATAGGGCACTGATGGGACTGATGAGGCTGGGCACTGATGTGGCACTGGCAGCATTGCACTGATGGGCACTGATGGGTGGCACTGACTGGTGGCACTTCTGGGCACTGACTGGCAGCATTGCTGGGCACTGCTGGGCAGCACAGCACTGATGGGTGGCACTGCTGGGCACACAGCTGGGCACAGGTGGGTGGCACTACTAGGCACTGATGGGCACAGGTGGGTGGCAATGCTGGCAATGATGGGCTTAGGTGGGTGACACTGCTGGGCACTTGTAGGCAGCACTGCTGTGCACAGGTGGGTGGCACTGGTGGGTGGCACTGCTGAACACTGATCTTCAATGCCCTGATGATCGGTACTGATCCATCCTCTGACAATTGCCGGTTATCGGCAGTACTTTCCTCACACTTTGACAGCGTAAGGAAAGTGCAGCCAATAACCGGCAACTGCATTTACCGATGATCTGTTGTGTCATTGGACACAGCTGATCACGTGGTAAAAGGCCGCTGTAATTGGCCTTTTACCACATCATGTAATCAGCTGTGTCCGTAGGACACAGCGTTCACGGAGATCGCCGGGGGCGCTTGAGAGGGCGCATTCTGAGAGGATGTCCGTAGGACACAGCGATCATGGAGATCGCCGGGGGTGCGCCGGGGGCGCTTGGGAGGGAACATTCTGAGAGGATGTCATATGAAGCCCTCCCAGAAATGGCCGGCTGTGGTGAATCCGTCATTTGGCTATCTGCGTTCGGCAAGTGTTTAAAGACTTCTTGAACCATCAGCTCTGCAGTTTGTTCAGCAGATGATACCATAAAATGAGCCATCTTAGTGAGAAGGTTGATGACTACCAACCAAGACAGTAGTCATTTCTTTCAAGGGAGAAAAATCAACCACAAAGTCCATAAAAATATTGACCCTCATGGTCATGTGATCCAGCTGTGTCAATCACAGCTGATCACATGTAAATAGGGAAATGCTGGTTATCGGCATTTTTTTTTCCACTCGAGTCTTCATGCTAACAGCTCGAGAGAGAAGAGAGCCAGTGATCTGCATTCCTCAGAGGGGACATGTACAGGGCACTGATGATCAATGTGACCTGATGATCAGTGTAGCCCCAGCAGTGCCACCTGTCAGTGTCCATCAATGCCAGCTGTCAGTGCTCATTAGTGCCATCTGCCAGTGCCCATCAGTGCCCTCAACCAGTGCACATCAATGCCACATATCAGTACCCATCTGAGCTGCCTTTCAGTGTCACCTATCAGTGCCAGTTAGTGCCACCTATCAATGCCAGTCAGTGCCACCTATCAGTGCTGCCAATCAGTGCCAGTCAGTGTCACCTATCAGTGCCAGTCAGTGTCGCCTATCAGTGCACATCAGTGCCCTATCAGTGCCAGTCAGTGCCGCCTAACAGTGCCAGTCAGCGCCACCTATCAGTGCCACCTATCAGTGCTGCTTATCAGTGCCATATATGAGTTCTGCCTTTCAGTGCCCATCAGTGATGCCTGTCAATGCCCATCAGCACCACCTACCAGTGCCTCCTCATCAGTGCCACCTATCAGTGCCCATCACTGCAGCCTCATTAGCGCACATCAGTGAAGGAGAAAAATCACTTATTTACAAACTTTTAAAACAAAAACTAAGAAAAAACGTTTTTTTTTTCAAAATTTTCAGTTGTTTTTGGTTTGTTTAGCAAAAAAAAAAAACCCAGAGGTGAATAAATACCACCAAAAGAAAGCTCTATCTGTCTCAAAAAAATGAAAAATTTCATATGGGTACAGTGTTGCATGACTGCGCAATTGTCATTCAAAGTGTGACAGCGCTCAAAGCTGAAAATTGGCCTGGGCAGAAAAGGGGAATAAGTGCCCTGTAGGCTAGTGGTTAAAGCTGTTTGCAGCAAGTTGGAATTTTTCAAAACAGATCTCAAATGCTTTGTGAACTGAACTTTTTCGGTAGCTAGGTAGACAATTCTAACACTTAGGTGCTCTTTTCACATACAGAACACTCAAAACATAAACAATAGAGACCTAGGGTCCATTTAATCACTTGCCCTTCAACAGGATTTACCCCCCCCCCTTAATGACCAGGCCTCTTTTTTGCTACTCGGCGCTGATAATCAACTGATAATTGCGCGGTCATGCAATGCTGTACCCAAACAAAATTTACGTCCTTTTTTTTCACACAAATAGAGCTTTCTTTCGGTGGTATTTGATCACCTCTGTGGTTTTTATTTTGCGCGCTATAAACAAAAAAAGACCGAAAATTTTGAAGAAAAACAATATTTTTTACTTTTGGCTATAAAAAATATATAGTAAACTCAAAGTTAGTTATAAATTTAGGCCAAAATGTATTCTGCTACATGTTTTTGGTAAAAAAAATCCCAATAAGTGTATATTGATTGCTTTGTGTGAAAGTTATAGCGTCTACAAACTATGGTATAGATGCTGCAATTTACGCCATTTTTTTTTGCTATACAGCACTGCACTAGTTTAACTGATAATTGCGCGGTCATGCAATACAGTATATAAATGAAATTTATGTCCTTTTTTCACACAAATAGAGCTTTCTTTTGGTGGTATTTGATCACCTGTGTGCTTTTTATTTTTGGCGCTATAAACAAAAATAATTTTGAAAAAAATTTTTTTTTAAATTATTTTCTCATGTTTTCTGTCATAAAAAATACAAAAAAAAAACCCTAAAATTTTGTCATAAATTTTAGTAAACTCAAAGTTAGTTATAAATTTAGGCCAAAATGTATTCTGCTACATGTTTTTGGTTAAAAAAATCCCAATAAGTGTATATTGATTTGTTTGAAAGTTATAGTGTCTATAAACTATGGTATAGATAATGGAAATTACACAGCTTTTACTTTATGATTGCCCATCATATTTCTTGAGGTGCTAAAATACCAGGATAGTACAAACACTCCCAAATGACCCCTTTTTGGAAAGTAGAGACCCTAAGATAGAGGCATTGTCAGGGTCCTGTCCACGGCAGGAGTTCTGGAAGATCTGCATTTCCAGTACTTTACATGGCCGCAGAAATACACATCAGCCTCTGTCTGGTGCCAGGCGGCCTTTATAAGGAGGCTCCTCACTTCCTCTGGTTGCTGGATGATCTCTAGCTCCCCGTGCCCTGTTCCTGGTTTCCTGTGATTCTGACTTGTGATTTCCTGTTACCGACTCAGCTTGTTCCTGGACCTGTCTACTCTGATTTACCCCTGAACTGACCTCGGCTTGGCTTATGGATACTCTCTCGCTCGCTCCTCTGTGAATGACCTCAGCTATCCCCTTTGGGCCAGACTCCCACTGTCCCACTCTCGGGAGTTCAGAGCTAGCCAGAAGGGAAGCCCTGAGGAATTTAAAAAGAGGCACGGTGAGTATGCTGCAGATCTTATTTTTTCTTAAAAGGTTTTGAAATATAAAAAAAGAACAGAAAAAATAACTTGTGGCAACAAACTAGAGATCTGAAAAATACTCACCCATTGTTTCTTATCAAATTCCTTGGGGTGTCTACTTTCCAAAAAGAGGTCATTTTGGGGGGGGGGGGGTTGGTGCTATCCTTGCATTTCAGGGCCTCTGAAACTGTAATAGGTAGTCAGGAAGTGTAATGAGGAAATAAGCCCTTTAAAAGCCTGAGGTGCTTATTGGATTTTGTGGTCCTGTACTTGGCTAACTTGCCTAAACGTCTCTCACATATGGTACCCCCATACTCCAGGAGAAGTAGCAGAATGGGGAGTAATTCCACATATACCAATGGCATGTGTGAGCAAAAAATCATTTAAGTGACAATTTTGTGTAAAAAAAAAAACAAAAAAATTTTTTTTTTTATCATTTTTCCAAAAATTTGTGGTAAAAAAATGAATTCTTCTATTGATTCAACATGCCTCTCAGCAAATTAGTTTTGGGTGTCTACTTTCCAAAAAGGGGTCATTTTCGGGGGGTGGGGGCGTTTTAGCCCAGCATTAGAAGTTTATGCCACACATCACTCACTCTTCTAACCACCTGGAGATCAAGCCTTTTCTGACACTTTTGTTCACATGAAAAAATCTGTATTTTTTGCTAGGAAATTAATTTAAACCCCCCAAACATTATATATTTTTTTAAAGCAAACACCCTAGTGAATATAATGGTGGGTTCTGCATTTTTTTATGTTACATAGTACTCGCGCAGCGATTTTTCAAACGCAAATTTAAAAAAAAAAAAAAACAAACACTTTTTTTTACTTTTAATGCACAAAAACACAATATATTGGCCAATTATTTGGTGAAATATAAAAGATGATTGGTATGCTGAGTAAATAGATACCAAACATGACATGCTTTAAAAACTGCGCATGCCCTGTGCAATGGTGACAAACTGCATAAGTTTTTAATATCCATAGGCAACGTTTAAAAAAGCCTTTACAAGCTACCATTTCAGATTTACAGAGGAGGTCTAGTGTTAGAATTACAGCCCTTGATCTGACGTTCATGGTGATACCTCACATGCATGGTGCAACCGCTGTTTACATAACAGCACAGGGTGAACGCTCAAGCACACAGGTATGCAAGCACGGGGGGAGGGGGGGGCGAGGGTGCGCTTTTTTTTTCTAAAGTTATTTAGATTTTTTTAATTATTTTTTACACTGTCCCTTTCATTTTTTTTTTTTTTTTGATCACTTTTAATGCTATCACAGGGAATTCAAATATCCCCTATAACTTCAATGGGCATTGTCATAATATTCTTTTTTGAGAAATCTGGGATCTATCAGACTCTAGATATCTCCTCTGCCTTACATTATCTAATCAAACCAAGATCAGTGTGATCAAATGCTTTCCCAATTTACAAATGGTGCTGTTTAAATCCTGCGAAACTGAAGTGATGAAATGCTCATAGCTTCTTAGACTATAGAGATGATTGGCACCATTCTGGTCTCCAATCAGCTCTATGGTCAGCTGGCAGAAACACTGGCTGCATTCTCAGGTCCCCCCGATGGCATGGGATGTCTGCTCGAGAAGGCAGTGGAAGGCATCAGGGGAGGGGGGCATCATCTCCTGCTGCTTGTTAAAAGCAATCCTGCAGCTAAATTAGCCACTAGAATTGCTTTACATGAAAGCGATCTCCAGCTGAAAAAAATGTTACCAGGATGATGCCTGCAGCTGTAGGCATACATCCTTGTATAAACATTCAAAATCCAGTAATGTACCAGTACGTCGCTGGTCCTTTTTGGGTATAATATGCTATGTTCTTTTTTTTTTTTGTATGCAGTCTGTGGGCTGAATGAAAAAAGAGAAGACATCTCTTCCAGAAAAAGTGTGTGGTTATGCCCACCATTAGATATATACCGCCCTGCTATCCACGCATTTCTAATGGTGGGCACAAATTAGGTCGCACGGTGCCACATGCACCAGTTCCACAAGATTGTAAAAATGTCTAAATAGTGGCACGCTTGAATAAACATGGTTCACGTATAAGTGGTACAACCATATGGAAAAGGAATTACACCAAGTCCCAAACTATCCTGCCACTGCTCCCCATGCAGTCTGGGCATCCGGGAGGCTCCAAGTGACTATCTTTTCCCTCGTAAATCCCAAACTTTTAATTATAGCCTGTTGCCCTCTTGTGCTCTTGTCTTCTACATCTTGACCCCATATCTGGCATGCTTGCTGGGGAGATATTGAATGTAAGGTGGCCAGAAAAATGCATTAAGGACTCATCAACGCAGATGTTTTGCTGGGGAGTATAGACATCTGCACATTTTTTGGTTAAGGTGATTTACGAGGGCTGAATTTTGTGGAGCCAGTCAAATTTAGGGTCACCCCGAGGATGACAGAGTGCATTGTCATTGAAATGCATAAAACACATTATACTCTCATATCTGTTCCTGGCCATGGCAGGAGAGAACACAAACATATGATTCTGTGGACCAATACAACCATTTTTGTTTTTTTAGTAATGCCCATGTTGAGGGTTAGGCCCAAAAAAATTTAAATCCAGAAACCGTAGTGGGTTTCCATGTGATTGGTCTGGCAAGGTTTAAATTTGGGTTGGCGGTGATAAATTGTTGTGTATATATAAATTGCTTTTATCCACAATCAATGCATACAGATCTCCCGTGAAAAAACAGCTCCAAAAAATCAAGGAGTGTAGTTAAATTTGCTGTTTCTGCCTGTATTCCATGTTAGGCAGTGAATGGGGGAAGTACAGGTTGCTGCAGAATTTGTTGGCTACCAAATCGGGGTTTCGCAAGCACATCAGAAGGATACTAGGGGCTCTATGGACCTGTGTGTGAATTTTCTTGGTGGTTGCGGGACAATACTTGTGCTCGCCACCGCACCCGCTTGTACTGCACTTATGGGACTCGCTACATCACCAAGTGACACTGCAGT